TTATTTGATTTGGAGAAGAAAAAAATTTTTTAAAGATACTGTGCCCCTGTATACCTTTGCACTTTTGCCTGCGTCTGTCTATATATTTAAGCATACGATTCACAGTGTGAGTTTGGAGTTTCTCCCTGAATGAAACAGCTCTGAGTTTTTCTGTAGCTTGCCTCCAAAACCACAGCCTCCAATTAAATCAGCGTCTCTGGAGTGCTACAGACAGTCGCACTGCCTGCCTGGAGGTTCTATCCTGCCCTCGTATGGGAATGTTTTGGGTTTTTGTATTCATTTCTGTAGCCGCCTTGGAGCACACAGTCTCTTTGTGTGGCCCATAGGCACAGCACTCCCTCTATATAAAGAATCCAGAGGCAAGCTGGCATGTCCTTGTCCTCTTGGAACCAGGTATCTTTTAGCCTGAGTGCTTATCTTGGGTGGTACTTGCTCCTGGCCTGGCCTGATTAGTTTTCAGTTAATGTTGGCCTCTTCCATGGAGGGGACTCCAGGAAGAAAAGAGCTGTGTTAGCTCTTGTCTATGGCTGCATGGATCCCTTGCATCAACACTTGCTGAGCGTGGTTGAAGGAGGAGTGAATGGATGATCAAGAACAGGCAGAGGGATCCTGGTGTGTACAGACCAAGTTTACAGAGGGAAGGCCATAAATTCCTTGTACAGGTACCACCTCTGGCAGCAAGAGGTGAATAGTGAGCAGTCCAGGGTGAGCACGAAGGCCCAGGGACTTGCTTCGAAGATGAGGAGTGGTTAGAGCCCTAAGAATGGGAGCTGGAAAAGCACCGGGGCAGGATGGAAAGCATTCTGGAAGAGGAGGCGTGTGTACTTCCATGTGGGGCATGGGCCGATGAGAACTGTGGTTTGTGTTAGTTCCAGGCTGATCAGATAATCCATGGCTAACAGGCCGATGGCTTATGCAAGTGCTGTCTTGATTGGCTTTTGGTCTCCAAAGGTGAGGTTGAAAGCAGGGCCCAGGAATGACAAATGAAGAGGGTGTTTCCCTAGCTGCTAAAGTCTGCCCGGGCTCCTTCAGCAAGACTCAAGTTTTCTGTGGCCTCTGAGCCTCTCTCTAGTCTCCTGGGGTTTCACCCCTTCTGTTCCTTTCTGGACCATCTTCTACCTTGATCCCAACTCCCCCCAGGGCTGGGCCATCCCGTCTTGCTTTACATGGTTATATTGCGTGCTTGTGTGCATTGTTTGATAGTTACCGTTGGTCAGTTTGTAATCACACGTTTATTTGTTGGATTACTTCACTGAAGTGGGCGTGCCCTATCTAGAGTGCATCCCTCATCACTGTGTCCTCTCTTCTTATTTGCTTTTTTGTGTGTTTGGTTTTGGGAGCTGGAGAGATGGCTCGGTGGTTAAGCGTGTGCACCGCTCCTGTAGAGGAGCCAGGTTCAGTTCCCAACACCTATATTCGCTGGCTGACAACCACCTGTAACCACTGCTCCAGCGGATCCATATATACAGGAAAGCAAAATAATCTTAAAAGTTTGATATCATCTAATTCCAGTACAGCAGCATCCTAAATGTTTATTAAGTTGAATGTCTAATTATGTGTGTAGGAGTGTCCTAAGTCTTTGTTATTGTTCGTTAGTTTTTTGGTAGAGGATCTTGCTGGTTAGCCAAGGCTGGCATGGAACTCTCGATCCTCCTGCCTCAGCCACCTGTGTTCAAGGATTACAGGCATATGCCACCATACCTAGCAATCTCAGGACTTCTTAAGGAATTGTCACTTACTTCTCTCTGACTAAAGCAAGTAGGTCGATGGAGGTGTTTGTTGGGGACGAGAACAGTGAAAGAGTGATTTGTGTCAGGGATGACGCATGCATGGGCTGGTTCTTAGCAGTTCACAGCCCCAGCTGGAATCATCAGGGTCACCATGGCAGCCCATGGAGCCAATACTGACTTAGAGAGAGCCACAGCTGGATGGGACCAGTCCTTTTCTTGAAAGACTGCCGAAATGGCTTCAGGTCCCAGGCAGGCTGCTCGAACCTGCAGCACATGGGTCTCGTGTGACCCAAAGACCAACGGTACACAACTTGAGTTGGCTCCACAGCCTGAGGCCTCACCTCACTCTGCTGAGCCCTACTTGGTGGCCAGTGTCCTTATCCACAGCGATCCAGGCTCAAGTTACCCTCTCTGGGCATCCTTGGTGGAAATGAATCTCTACCCTTCCAGGGCTCTCAGCTGAGAGGGCCTGGTGGGCTGAGCAGCCTCCAGGCAAGGCAGAGTTGGTCCATCTCTGGGAGCAACCAGTAGGAGAAAAAGTGGAGACCCTGGTGGGAGCTGGGAAGCTGGCTTCATTGGAGTTTTCTGGCTGGCTGGGAGGAAGGGTTCAGGCTGAAGAGTTCAGCTGCATTAGGGAGGCCGAAAGCAACCTCTTAAAAAGTTGCTGTGATCTCCATGTTGGTGCTCTGGAGTGCAAGGTCACCATGGCGGAAGTGGCCGGAATAGGTTGGCTGGGCAGAGCACTCACTGAGAAGGAGCAAGCTCAGTGCATATGTGTGTGTGTTCATATGTGTGCATGTACATATGTGCACCTAGGTATATCGGGCTGCTGATAATAAGGTCCTCTGATGGCCGTTGACCAGCACAAGTACATTACTGGGCAGTAAGCCCTCACATCTGCTATTCTTGGTGACCTTACAGAAATGGTCCCCACGGGGAGGGACCACGATGAAAGAAGGAACACTGGGGATGATGTGTGGAGGGCCAGTGTCCCCGCCAAAACAGGGGCACAGGATTTACGCTGGAGACACTGTTCAGCGAGAGCAGCTTCCACTTCAGGCCACACCTATCGGGTTGTTCAGGCTGTGGTCCAGCCTTGCTCTGAAACAGAAGAGGGATCTGTTTTCTCAGGCAGCTTGTAAGCCACCCCTGAAGGCCCTTTCTGTAGAACATGGGGGTGCTCTGGGCCTGTCAGCTTCCTTAGGGATCCTGAAAGGCCAGCAGTCAGGCAAATAGCCAAAGCTGGTGTCTATTCAAACCTCCAGCTCCACAGACAGAACGGCTGGAGCACTAACATCGGCCTGAGGCCCAGGAATACAAGACCCCACCACTTCAGGCTCCTCAGTTTGGCCTCATGTGTCACATGGGTGGAGCTTCAACATGACAATCACATCTAAGGCAGCATGTGCTTCTTGGGGCAGAGGCTGGAGAAGGCCTGGGGTATGTGGCTCCTCTCAGTGGGAGAGCTGACCCTTTGCGATGCTCTCATGGTTTCCAGCGGTACAAGCAGAAGCCCCACCTGGGCGTGGTTTCCACAGCCTCTTATCAGCCTCTGATAAGGGACAGTTGTCCCTAAACTGTCCTAGAGAATCCTGGGCAATGATCAGCCCTGGTGGCCATTTTCTGTCAGGAAAACTCTGCTTTCATGCTTGCTTTCATCTTGAACAGGTCAAACCCAAGACACACAAAAGACAGTTCACCTCATTTTTCAAGTTAATAACTCATTGTATTTCCTTTGAAATATAAACACCGTTCCCAGAGACAGACAGGTCAGTGGGTAACTCAGTAAAATACTTTCTTTTTGTTTGGTTGATTTCAGTGTTTGTTGTTGTTGTTTCTTTTTGAGACAAGGTTTCTCTGGGTAGCCTTGGCTGTCCTGGACAGGCTGGCCATGAACTCACAGAGATCTGCTTGCCTCTGCCTGCCCGAGTGCTGGGATTAAAGGTGTGCACCACCTCACCCGGCTACTTTCTTAACTTACACTTCCGAATAGGCAACACTTTTAAGTTCCGAAACAAGGCCCAGATGTGTCACATGTACGGCCCATACCATGTTTATCATGTGCAGTATTCTTATTACATTTTATGTGATAGAAAATAAGATGTCACCCAGTGTGAGCACACCTGGACACCCGTGAGAACACATGGAGCCGTCTTTTCTTCTTTCACTCACAGCAGCGTGAACCATGCTCTGGATCTTACGCCCCTCTTGCTTGTCACAGAACCGTGGTGCCTGACTGGCTTTGCATCTTGGTTTGCTTCCTTTTCGCTGCTGCATGGCTTTCCACCACCCAAGTGATTCCGCAGTCCGTTCAGCCAGCTCTTGGTCAATAACCTTGGGCTCTTTCCAGCCTTTTGTTGCAAGGACTTTGTGTATCTATCACTTTCCATATCCACAGGCCAGCTATAAAATACTATAAAATACTGGCTCAGGACCAGTGTACCTGTGATTTTGATAGGCTTTGCCAAACCATCTAGCACAGGTGTGTGACTAACAGGTGTGTAACACTGTGTTACAGACTGGCCACAGTGGTGACACATGTGCAGGATGAGGTCATCGACAGGGGAGGCACAGGAGGGGTGGTGACACCCGTGGCTAATCCCCTGAGTCATCCTGAGCTCCCATCCTCAGGCAAAGGAATGGTTTCATTTCTCTAGGACTGGAATGTTCATCTGTAAAACAGGGAAACCAGCAATATCCTGAGTTGGTTCTTAGTTCCTTTTTTTTGCTTTTTGTTAATGAAATTCCTCGGGGCAGGCAGCTTTATAAAGAAGCTTATTCGCCTCATGGTTCTGAAAGGTCAAACCTGTAGTACCAGCTCAGCCTTGGCGAAGACTTGTGAAACCGTGCACACACTTGTGTGAAAGAAAGAAATGAACAGAGAGGAAGGGAGGAATAGGCGCCACCAGACAGAAAGCCAGAGTGAAGGGAGGGACTAGTCTTGTGACCTCCTCCACTAAATCTCTGCTCTAAGTCCCACCACCTCTAAACGATCACTGGCTATCAAACTCTAGCACACAAACACTAGGGGCACATATATCGGGGTCACTGTGAAAAGGGAGGGAGGTGACAGGAGGGCTTTGCACAGTGCCTGGTGTGTGACTATGGGAGGCTGGCTCTGCCATTACCAGCGGGTGACCCTGTCCAGGCAGCCCCTGGCCCAATGTGAGGGGCAGAGAGCTATGCTGTCCCTCAGGCCCCCTTCCCATGCTTGGAGTAATACTGGTAGAACAGCTTCCGCTGACCCTTTCTCTCTCGTGCTCATCCAAGGTATCCAGGAGTCTCCAGTGCCAAACGGCCACTCACTTCCAGGCAGAGACTTCCTCCGGAAGCAGATGCGGGGAGATCTGTTCACACAACAGCAGCTGGAGGTGCTGGACCGCGTGTTTGAGAGGCAGCACTACGCAGACATCTTCACCACCACGGAGCCCATCAAGCCGGAGCAGGTATGCCGCCTGGGACGCTTGTCCCCACACCTGCCACCACGGTGCAGGCCTGGGCCGGCCTCTGGCATGGTGAGGCTCTTCGCGGAGTGGATTTTTCATTGCTTTTGGCCAAGCCTGGCTGGTCACCATATCCCACAAGGCCAGGACTAGCTGGGGCACTCTGAGGCTTCTTGCCCTCTGGCTGCCCTGCCACTAGTGAATGGCATGCTTTCTGAGGGCCTTTTGGATAGGGGTGTCTGTGATGATCCTCAGGTCACTTCAGGAGGTTTTTATCATCTGTGTCAGTCAGGAACAGGACCTAAACATATGAAACCACTCTGTGGCCTGGGGCTCACCGCTGTGGAGTATAGGACGGTACCTCACGATGCTTGGCCTATGCTTGACATCATGGGACTGCGTACAGGTATGGGTATCCCAGGCACGGGGTCAGTCGTCAGAGGGGCCTGCTCTGACAGGTTAGTCTGACACCAGCTGGCCTTAGCACTTGTGGGCCTGGAAGAGCTCTTGACACCTGAGGTGTGGTCAAGGCCTCCAGGGCCAGGTAGCCTTCTGTCATGGCTCTTCTCTGAGCTGATCCCATAGGAACTGTTAGAGATGGTTTAGCCAGTTTGCTTTTAGATAGGGAAACTGAGGCTCGTAGAGGCAAAGCGACATGCCCAAGGCTCCTGAGCAAGTATTCATTTAGCAAACATTGACAATTGTCTGGTATTGGTAAGGCATAGAGCCAGGCTCTATGTGTCCATCAGGGAGCAGACAAGCTTGGGCCTGTCCCGGGAAACCTATAGAAGAATCACAGCTGGGTGCTGGAGAGGTCTAAGGTCCTGTGAGAACCTGAGGCAGAGGCTGAGCTGGCTGGGAGGCTGCCATCGTAAACAATAAGGGATGTGAGTGTGGAGGGATGGATGTGCCCAGAGGAGTGAACAGCCCGGGCAAAGGCCCTGAGGTGAGAGGGAGAGAGCAGGAGCAGAAAGACCCCGTGTGGCTGGGATTCAAGGAACAGGGTGGGAGGTGGTGCTGGAGAGCTGAGTCTGGTCTTCTGGACTGTAGGGGATCCTCTTACATGTCCAATGACATCTCTCCTAACGACATGGCGTGGGCGCTGGGCAAAGCCGATCCACTCCAGAGCCCGGGTTCTGGGGAGAAGAGCCGACTTCCATCACAGCCGCTGCTTGTCTTTCTGTGAGATAGTAAATGCTGCGTTTCATCTGAGTTGTGTGAGATGGTCCAGTAAATGAGTGACCAAGGGTGCGGATCCAGGCTCTGTACCTGGTTGCCAACATCTCCATTAAGCCAGTGTGAATGAAACATAGACACTGAGTGCCAGCGAGCCCCTCTGTGTTTCATGGGAGTCTTCCAGAACCCCTAAAGCTGTGTTCTACATAACCCACTAAGTGCCTGGGAAGATGGCCCAAGACCCAGCCTCCACTCAGAGGCGTCCCAGAGCTGGCCAGGCACCTCCTCACTCACTCAGGTGCTCCCTTGTCCAACACACCTCCTGCACATGAGCAGTGGGCCCAGCACAGTGCCAGGCTTGGAGGGGACAGAGGCACAAACCAGGCATCACCTCTGTCAACACCTCTGTGAGGAGCCTCGGACAAATGAGAAAGTTCTCTGGGTGATGTGGAGTGCTGAGTAGGAGAGCGAGGTGGCACTGGGAGCAGCAACGCTGAGGGGGAATGCCACATGGGAGCTCAAGGACAAGGCCCAACAGGGCGGACATCTGGGCTGCAGGCTCCGGAAGACGAGTTTCTGTGGTGTCCTTCAGAACTCTGTGGCCTGGTCTGGGCCTGTCTGTGAGTTCTGAGGCAGGCCTAGCAAAGGCAGGCTAATGACTGACTCAGTGTTTTCTGGTTAATCTGCTTCACCTCCCTGTGGCATGCTGTAATGAGGAGAGATGGAAGGTGAGGCTACGAGGCCACCCTGCACACTCGCAGGCATTGGACTATGAATGACATACCCCGGTGCCCTGTTCCCAGTCACTATGGACAAATGATGGCTTGAGCAAGGGGCTGCAGCTGGGGAAGGCATGTGCATCAGCGTACATTCACTGTCGCCTTCTGAGTTCCATCCTGCTCACTGTCTCCTGACTCGTGGGCTCCGCCTGTGACCCCTGTGACACCCCAGAGTGGTATGGTAGTGAGGCTAAGAAGTGGGCTCCTGCGCTGCTGCCCCTAGAGACCTCGTCTATTTGCCAGCAAGGCGAGCCGCCCGAGTCTGTGGCTTCAAGGCCTGGCCCAGAGCGTGCTGTCACTGGATGACCTCATGAGGAAAATAAATACCATGTACTGACTGAGGTGCTGGGGACCCTTGATTTGAGCCATGCCTCTGCTCTGGTGAACACCTCGCTTTTTCCTGGACCTCAGTTTCCTTATTTGTGTAATCATGATGGACAGTGGCAGCAACTAACAATGACAGCCACCTAACGATAATGACAGGCGTGTCCTCACCTACAAATGAGAACATCCAGCTTCCCAAGGGCTTAATGTAGTCCACATTGGACCTTCCCTTTAAGTGTCCTCTAAGCAGGCTGGGTCATACCTGGGAGCCCCTGCATATGGAACTGAACTTTAAAAGAGCCCGTATACCCATTTTCCAGCCCAGGATTGTTGAGACCATGGAACTGGGGACCAACCTCAGGCTCTTCTCTGTCCTCATGTTGTGCAAGATGGTTTCATGGGGCTTTGTGCTCTTGGGGTTCAGAGATCAGGCCTTGGAGGGGCTAGCATTCTTCCCAGCCTTCCTCAGACAGTCTGTGGATTATTCCAGGATGTACATGGGCCTGGATGGGTCACCTACCTGATTCCTGGGGAAGATGTCATTGTCTTAGTGTCAGGATGGTCCTGAGGTCACTCCTGTGAGCCTGTCCTGCCAAGCTCTACTCTGAGTGGTGGCCAGCCCTGCTCAGGCTTTCACAGAGAAACTCAGAAATCTCTTTGCCATGGTGGAAGGGGTTAACGAGGCCCACTCTGGGGCAATGAAACACTTCCTTCTCAGAATGGTTATTGAAAAAGCAATTCTGTTTTCCCTACATGGGGAGTGAGTAAAAATCACCTCAGCGGAGCAGAAGAGGGGCATAAAAGAGAAACTGCTGATGTGAGTGTGTGTGTGTCTATATCTGTGTGTGTATGTGTGCACGCGCATGTGAGTAAATGCGCGGTGGAATCTGTTTCGGTAAAACTCGAGTTGATGCTGTCTGTCGCTGTGGTGGGCTCTGGCTCTGGCAGAGGGGGTCCCTCCTCCGGCCACTGAGAGGACGTGGCCGATTGCAGCCTGCTGTATTTACCCTCAGCAGACTATTAACCAACACCAGGCTATTAATCTGGCTTTTGAGCCTTCACTAAAGCCCATAAAAGCTCACAGTTGTCAAATGGAGTTCATTTTAATTTCCTTTCAATCACAGTAAATTATTCAGGTGATAAATCAGCTGGAGCAGCCTCCTGGCTGTAATAGAAACCCTAATTCCTGGCTAATTATCCAGCCCATTGCTGCCAACAGATCAATACGGGTGCAAAATGGAACGGGCCCAGGGCCCTCCCTCCCATTGGGCTAGAGACAGAAAGACAGCTGGGGAAGGGGGACGAGCTGCTGACCTCCTGGGAAGTTCAAAGGTCACAGGGGGTTAAATCGGGAGATGGCCTGTTCCTTGTCTAACAGAAAGCCACCAGAAGCGCCTCCTGCCCTCCTGAGCAGCCTTGCCACTGTATGGTGGCTCTTCTCCAGGACAGCAGGCAGATGGGTTTCTAGTTTTCCCTGAGCCTATGAGTATCCTGTCCCTGGGAAGGGGCTGGTTTGTTGACATCACCCAGCGGCTACCAGGGACCAGTTAAAGGTATGGGCACTTTTGAGAGAAAATGACGATCTGGCTTCAGGGGCCTCATTTTTCTCCTTGGTGATGTGTGTCCTACCATGAGGAGGTAGAGGAGGGTAAGAAAGGATAGGAAGACATGTGTGCCAAGCCAGAAGAGCAGGAAGGTTCCTGGAGGAGATGCCCTCAGTGATGTCGGAAGAGCTGGGCAGATCTGGGCCCGTGGAGATGGTAGCATTGGCTGGAGAAGGTCTTCCAGGCAGCTGGAACAGCACAAGCAAAGGTCTGAAGGAATGCCAGCATGGGGCTGGAATAGTACCTGAGTGACAAGCAGCCAGAGACTCAAATCCCAGGATGGGATATAAAGAGGACTTCCGAGGTTGCTTTGGGATCACAAACCCCAAAGACCCCAGTGCCCTTGCCTCTTGCCCCACCCCTTCCGTGGCATTGGCTCGCTCTTTCTGCAGCCCATCACCCCACAGGAAGTGCTTGTGGTTTTCTGTCCTTTACAGGACTTTTCACTGTCCTGTGTCCCTTTGCTGCCCCCTAAGCAGCTCCTGCTCTCTCCAACCCACACCCCACAGCGAGGCAATGGCAGGGCTACTTCTGTGTCAAGAGCATTGCTGATGGTGTCTCTCAGGCTGGTGCATGCATGTATATAAGCATGCACATGTGTGTGGATACCAGGAACAGCTTGGCAAGTGCTTGGTGGCAGGTACCATAATGACTACCTCTTTCTTAATGTTCTTCACTCTCTAAGCTGCTGATCACTGGTTTCCTGCACAGACATCAACCTACACCTGGTTATATGTCTATTCCCTGGCCCGGGCCCAATCAAGAGTCCTGCTCACTCTTGTGAGTCAGCCATGGCCCCATAAACCCACACCCTCTTGTCTCCCTGTTTGAACTCAGAACTCACAGCATGTTAACTATTACTGTAGTGTCATGGCCAGTGTGTGCTCACTGTTCACTACCTGCCCTGCCAGATTTAACAGGGAGCCGTACTGACACATCTTTCTAGCACCCCACAAGAACCCCATCACCCCTCTGTAAGAAGGCCCTGTGAGACCGGTACAGTGTCTTAGCCACGGGAGCACAGCAAGCCCGGAGTCAAGGTCAGGTATGGATACTCAGTCCTTGGCAGGGAGCAGAGGGAATGTCTATGGCCAGACAAGAGTGAGTGGAGGCCTCATCC